AACGCGACTGTTGAGAATAAGTGTATCGGTAAAGTTGTATTCGGAAAGAATAAACCAGTTTTATTAAGTAACGAAGTTACGGAAAGTTAATTAACAAACGGAGACGTAACATAATATTGTTTAAAGTCATAGCTCTCTTTAAGTTCCTTCTTCTTCTTCGTAATGATCTTAATTCGAAATCTTATTTAAATTCCACACAGCACAAAATAAAAAGTATGAAAATTAAAAAAATGTTAGGTATTTGAAATTTAACTGTGTTTCTCCTGGTGTTCAGAGGAGTTCCTATGAGTGGCATGTCCCGAAAGGTTTGCTGAAGACTAACTGGTTACACAAACATGCTTCGGAAGTTCCTGCTGTGGCAGTTCTTTTTTATGATCTTGATTGGGATGATCTGCTGTGGAATGAAAAACGAGTTGATTGTGCAAATAAATTAGAAAATCTCAGGTTATACATTTTTTTATAAATATTAGATACCAGACAACTCGCATTGTGTATGTTTTATCAGTTGGTAAAATACTTGTTAGTTTTTGTTGTGATATTTAATCATTCAATGCATGTGTTAGTCATTTTATGTAGTGTTTGTGAAGAGTTAATTGTAACAGATTAACTATTGGTAATATATATATATATATGTGTGTGTGTGTGCTGTGTTTCTTCTGCTTGTCATATTTCTTCACCATAATCTTTGCTAAATTCATTTATTGAGACATTAATTTTTAAGTCCATTTTATACATTGACCAGCAGATAGCTTTAATAGCTTTGCTATAAGTTCAAAATACAAATAAATATATGTTGATGAATCTCGAAATTCAAGTAAAAATAATAATCGTAACTCAGTTTCAACAATTTTTAATTCAAAAATTTTATCCAGAATCAATTTTTGTCATTTTCATTTCCGTGCAGCTCTAAAGATTGTCACCAGTCAACAATGTACTTGTCAGTTTTTTTGGAAGTTTTCTGCCCATCTCAAAGAATAACTTAAAATTTGCTAAGAAACTAGCATCCCTTGAGAACACATTATCCATTTCTTGATTTTCAGGCATTTCCTATGTATTTTTATGCTTAGTTTTTGTTCACGACTTAGTCACCACTCGTTAATGATGTCACATTTACTAATGAAACACAGCTTTGGATACAGCTATAATGAAAGCTTGAATATGATTGGATACAGCTATAATGAAAGCATAAATATGATTGGATACAGCTATAATGAAAGCTTAAATATGATTGGATACAGCAAAAATGAAAGCATAAATATGATTGGATATAGCTATAATAAAAGCTTAAATATGATTGGATACAGCTATAATGAAAGCTTAAATATGATTGGATACAGCAAAAATGAAAGCTTAAATATGATTGGATACAGCTATAATGAAAGCTTAAATGTGATTGGATACAGAGTTGAGAAGTTTTTATAATTTCTTTAATGTTCTTTTTCTTTGTAAAAGTGTTTATATGTTAAATTACATCTGTTTAAAAGCTGTAGAAATATTCTTCAACGAGAAGACACCAGATTGGTTTTGTGAGTATGGTATGTGATGGCAAATTATTCTGATTACTCAAATCTTTATTGATTATCATTTTTCTGTTTATCCTATTCAAACAATATACATAAATAAGTTGGATAATTTGTTACCTAATTATTTCTAATTGCAATAATGATGTGTTTTTAAAAAAAAAACTATTACCATTATAAGTGATAGCAAAATGTTTCGGTTATTTAGTTATCTGTTTATTTGATTTACACAAGATCAGTGATATTACTGCATATTTTAAAAATTAAAATGTGAACAGTATGGTCTGCTCAACATTAGCAATTCACTAAGTACAAAATGTTCATATTATCTTAAAAAAAAAACTTTGCCAAATCAGTATGTGTTGAAAAATACACTAACAAATGTCATGACGAGGAACCCGCTTTTGTAGCCAATAAAAATATAATCTTGGTGACATAATCTTGTTGAAACATTGTACATTTATAATAAAGTTTTCTTCATTACACATTCAAGCTGTCTCCAAACTTTTATTGTTTACATGTGGTTATGGTTAGTAACCTATAGGATCATCTAAGTATTTACTAATTATCTATCAATTTTATTATTATTATTACTAATTAAAAAGTTATTGGTTTAGTTATAATAATAATGATGAAAATGGATAGCTAAGTAGTAATTACAAAGGTGATTTTATAGGTCACTAACTGTGGCAATGTTTGATATCTGATTAGTTAGAACTGTTTTTCGATTGAATGCTACGTATGCATTTTCTCTCAGTTTTGACATATTCCATTGAAATGTAGTATCTTCTTGACTGGTGATTAATATTCGTAAAAGACATCGAAACTTTGTCAAAGTTTTGAAAAATGCTCTGTAAAAATCTTGAGAACTTGTATGCATGCTTATTGTAAAAGAACATTGAACAGCAAATGTCACCAATGTTTAGGTAGCCATCATACAAAACAATAAATATATTAAAATAAGAAGTATAGCTAGCGGGTGACAGCCATTTAGATAAGTATAATATAGCTAGCGGGTGACAGCCATTCAGATAAGTATAATATAGCTAGCGGGTGACAGCCATACAGATAAGTATAATATAGCTAGCGGGTGACAGCCATACAGATAAGTATAATATAGCTAGCGGGTGACAGCCATTCAGATGAATATAATATAGCTAGTGGGTGACAGCCATTCAGATGAATATAATATATCTAGCAGGTGACAGCCATTCAGATAAGTATAATATAGCTAGTGGGTGACAGCCATTCAAATCATTGTGCAGGTTTTTCAGCTTGTAACAACTACTTCCTAATGCTAGCCACCACTTCTCGTGTTATCTTGACAGACTAGTTCCAGGTAGATTGTCCACTATTTTGAATACAAAAGTTACCCCCCCCCCCCCGTTATTTAGCATTCCCATGAGAACTTCAAGAATTAAGAAAAGACCATATTAGTCTAGTTTTTGACATTCTCATTTTTAACAGTTTTTTTCAGAAATATGTAAATTCTGCGTATTACAAAGATGAAACAGAGCATATGTCAGTGACTGTAGCAAGCTAATGATAAGTTTTTCTAAAGTTTTAAATATTAGTCACATGTGACTATAAGTGTTTGAACAGATTCTGTCATGATGGTTATGATGAACTACACAGTTTTGTATCACATTTTAACATCTTTTTTTTTAATTTTTGTTGTTTTGCAGAACAAACTTGCAGGGTCGAAACACCAAGATTGCTTTGGTTCTTGTACAAAGGAATCCACCACTTCCTGGTGGTGAGTATGAATTTCCATTATGCTTGGCATGGTATAGTGATTGGGGTGCTCGACTTGTAACCTGCGGGTTGCTGGTTCTAATCCCGTCACCAAACATGATCGTCTTTTCAGCCATTGGGGCATTATAATGTGATGGTCGATCTCACTGTTCATTGGTAAACGAGTAGCCCAAGAGTTGACAGTGGGTGGTGTTGACTAGCTGCCTTCCCTCTAGTCTATCATCGATAAATTAGGGACGGCTAGCACAGATAGCCCTCATGTAACTTTACACAAAATTCAAAACAAAACAAATCATTATGCCATTGCGAAATTAAAAATAAAAAGATTCAGAGTGAGGGTCAAAGGACTAGTCATCTTAAAGTTTTGAAAAAAGTTAAAAAACAAACGATGAAAAGTTGGTTACATGTATTGAGTGTAGGAGTAAACATTTTTGAATCAAGTACTTAATGTTGACAAAGATATTGTTTTTTTGCTCAACATGGAATTAGTGTGTGCGATTGGTTTCATTAATTTTCAAACTGTAGGTTCCACACTGAATCGTCATAACTTATGAAAGATAGCTATTGATATTTAAATTAGATAAGTTGATCTTCATCTACATTACAAACGTTGTAGTTTACATCATTTGCTTTCACTCCAAAGTGTTGTAAGTAGGGTTCGTGTGGTTTTGGTTTTATGTATCTTTTTAAGCCTCCCATTTTATACTTTAATAAACTGAAAGTGTTACACATTCTAACAATGTTTATCAGTGTCTTGTTTACAGCAGGCATAACACATTGAGGAGCATTTCATTCTGGCCTCAAAAATAACAGTCAGCTGGTCTTTTACCTAGCATTTCATTCTGGCCTCTATAATAATAGTCAGCTGGTTTTTCCCTAGCATTTCATTCTGGCCTCTATAATAATAGTCAGCTGGTTTTTTCCCTAGCATTTCATTCTGGCCTCTATAATAACAGTCAGCTGGTCTTTTACCTAGGATTTCATTCTGGCCTCTATAATAACAGCAGCTGGTCTTTTACCTAGCATTTCATTCCGGCCTCAAAAATAACAGTCAGCTGGTCTTTTACCTAGCATTTCATTCCGGCCTCAAAAATAACAGTCAGCTGGTCTTTTACCTAGGATTTCATTCCGGCCTCTATAATAACAGCAGCTGGTCTTTTTACCTAGCATTTCATTCTTGCCTCAAAAATAACAGTCAGCTGGTTTATTCCCTAGCATTTCATTCTGGCCTCTATAATAACATCCAGCTGGTCATTTACCTAGCATTTCATTCTGGCCTCTATAATAACAGTCAGCTGGTCTTTTCCCTAGCATTTCATTCTGGCCTCTATAATAACAGCCAGCTGGTCTTTTACCTAGCATTTCATTCTGGCCTCTATAATAACAGTCAGCTGGTCATTTACCTAGCATTTCATTCTGGCCTCTATAATAACAGTCAGCTGGTCTTTTCCCTAGCATTTCATTCTGGCCTCTATAATAACAGCCAGCTGGTCTTTTACCTAGCATTTCATTCTGGCCTCTATAATAACAGTCAGCTGGTCTTTTACCCAGCATTTCATTCTGGCCTCTATAATAACTTAAAACTCAGTTAATATTTATGTATTGTATCTGTGGGAAGTGAAACTATTTAATTATAAATTTAATAAGAGTGGAGTACATGTGTTAATATTTATATATTGTATCTGTGGGGGAAGTGATACTATTTAATTATAAATTTAAGAAGAGTGTAGTACATGTGTTAATATTTATGTATTGTATCTGTGGGGGAAGTGATACTATTTAATTATAAATTTAAGAAGAGTGTAGTACATGTGTTAATATTTATGTATTGTATCTGTGGGGAATGATACTATTTAATTATAAATTTAAGAAGAGTATAGTACATGTGTTAATATTTATGTATTGTATCTGTGGGGAATGATACTATTTAATTATAAATTTAAGAAGAGTGTAGTACATGTGTTAATATTTATGTATTGTATCTGTGGGGGCAGGGATACTATTTAATTATAAATTTAAGAAGAGGTT